GGAACACACTAGCATAACTTTAGATCCCCCCCACACCTATAGGACACATTGTCCTCAATGTGACAAATAAAAACCAAAAGTGAAGCAAAAGTGAGAGGGGAAACAACCAAACGTCCCTGAAATCGGGTCAAAGCGGAGGGCGAGGTGGAAACGGAGGTGCAAAGCCTGTATGCATCAGAAACTGCGCCAAATTCTGTGCCATTCCGGCAACATTGGCGTCGACGTTGGTCATCCGGGCCTGCAAATCCTGAACCTGCTCCCTGAGATGCTGCCAATCATCGGTCCCAGGTGGTGGAGGTGGCGCAGAAGTAGAGGTAGACGGCCCAGCAGTGTCCGCGGCCGACCCAGGGAATGAAGATGGCCCTGCCCGGGCCGAATGGTGTGCACCCGGGGCTCGAGGTGGTCCCGGACGGGTAAACTGGTGAAAACCATCTGGCAGACGCTCGACGACCCCCATTTTCTCTAAGCAAACTACGTCCAAGTGCTCCATCTCAAATGCCAAATGGAGGTCGTGGTCATCCAGGTTAAGAACTCCCAACTGGGTCGCCAAGTGAGTGATGTAGGACTCAAGGATCAGTGGTTTGTTCTTCTTGGTCAAGACCGTCTTGAACTGTGCGGCCAACCAACATCCCAAGTTCACCTTGATATTGTTCTTCATACTCCAGAGAAAGAAGAATTCGGGCCGAGAGAGTATACCGGAGCTGTCCTTGCGCCCCGAGTAGCTATAAGCTAAGAATCGCTGAACATAGCGGGCGCTAGGATCCTTAAGAAAGGAGCTCCTGGACCGGGAAGGATCGTAGCGTTGCCTATCGACGGACATGTCCTCCCATACATCATGGTAGTGGGAGAGGAAAGGCTCTACGTAGTCACAGGCACTCTCCGCATATTCCCTAGTCTCAGCATACTCTCTAGTGATAAACCCAAATGCCAGATTGAATTGAGTAATGGAGAAATTGAATTCTCGACCCATGAGCCGGAAATGAATGACATTCGGTGTTTCACCCGTGTATCTCGTAGGTAATTCGAACTCAAAGGTGAAGTAAAACTCCCGGATCAGCTCAACAAAAGCGGGACAAGAAATATGGAAATATGGGCGCCACCCAATGGCTGTGAACATTTGCTCAACCTCCTCCCGTATACCCAGGGCAGTTAGAGAGAGTCTATGACAAGACTTACAGGATATTATACGCCTCTCGCAGACCTTAGCGTATCTCTGCCGATCGGCGGGTCTGGTAAATGTTAAGTGCCCCCCAAAGTGAACAGGTGCATCTACCTGAGCACCCCTATCCCTACCCAAACGGGTTCGAACACTAGAAGAGGAGGGTAGGTTGGTAGGTGAGTTGACAGGAATAGAGGCTTGTGGAGGGGGTTGAGACTGAAAGGTCCTAGACCTAGAGGAGGATTTCGGTCTCACCATTTCCCCCAAAGTAAGTTCAAGGCAACAGAAAATCCAACAAGTATAGAAACCAGTAATTGACAAAGCAAAAATCTCCCAGTAGTAACCCAGCCAATAGCAAACAAAAGAGTTCCAGCAAGTAATCAACAAGCAATTCAGAAATATCTCAACTAAAATCTCAAGAGAAACCCCAGCGAGTTATCCAGCAATTCAAGCAATATCCCCAAGCAATGTGATGGTCAAAATGTCATCTCCAAATCGAACAAATAATCAGAGCATTGCAACACATTTAAAATCTCAATAAACGGCTCCAGTTGGCCAAGAAAAATTGCTAACTCATATGCAGCAATAGTAGTGCAGCAAGGGGACAGTAACAACGCAATAAACACAGCTACTCAGCCAAGCAAACCAATGCAGTATTATAGTTCCCCCAGATTCCCAACATGTGGCTCCAGATGGCCAATTAAATGCACAATTTCACCCAACCCAAAAGAATTAGCAATTCCAAGCAAGAATAGTCCAACCAGTACCACTGGTGGAAGATCATCCAAATATGCACAAGCCGCTACCAAATATCACTGGCTAACACTGAGAAATTGAGGGCAAGTGTCAAATACCTCCACTGGGACTACCCCAGGCGGCAGACAGAGCAGCGGCGTTGAAGCTGGTGGTGGGGGCTGCGTACGTGGGCAGAGCGTGGCTGCTGGACCGAAACTACTGCACGCGCCGTGGGCTTGTGGCTGCGCGCGGCTGGACTGATCAGCGGCGGACAGAGCAGGGAGGTGGCGGCTGCACCGTGCGCTGCTCGCGACTGGACCGAGGCTGCAGCACGTACCCGTGGGCTTGTGGCCGCGTGAGGAGGAGATCGTTTGGGCGACGGTGGAGATGTAGCAGCGGCGGCCAAGCAGGAGCGGAAATCGCGTGGGCCGGCGAGGTGGAGCTGCGGCTGCTGGGGCGGCGCGCGCGAGGTAGGCTGGGTTGCCTACAAGCTGGTGGCGCGCGACCTTGGAGTTGGCGGCGGCGATGCAGATCTGCTGGTCGGCAGCAGTGGTGGACAGGCCTATGGGTGAAGCGGCGTAGGCTGCTGGCGGCGGACGCGGGTGGTTTGGTGCGGCGCGAGATGGCTGCGCGCGCGAGGGAGATGGGCTGGTGGCGCGCGGTTGGTGAGCCCAGCGCGAGGTGGGTGGCGAGCGTGAGTTGAGATGGCGGTGGGCAGAGCGGCGGACAGAGCAAAACAGCGGAGAAGAAAGAAAGAAAAGAGGAAAAAAGAAGAAGAGAGAAAGAAAAAGAAAGGAAAGAAAGAAAAGAAAAAGAGGAAAACCCCCCTTTTTTTTTTTCAAAATTGAAATTGCTATGGTTAAGAGAAAAAATTTCCAGCTTCTTATTATTATTATCGTTTGTTTTTTTTTTTCATATTATTATTAATATTAATTTTTTTTAAATAATCTTTTTTTCTTCTTTTAATGAAAGGCATAATAATAATAACAATAATAACAATAATAATAATGAAATATTTTTTTCAAATCCTCACCTTTCCCGCGAACGTGACGCGGGCACGTCAAGAGGTCAAGAGAGCTCCCAGAAGTTCAGAATTTTCTGATCGTAAGCGTCCTGCACATCACCACGCGGGCACGTCATGAGGTCAGGAGAGCTCCCAGAAGTTCAGAATTTTCTGATCGTGAGCGTCCTGCACATCACCACGCGAGCACGTCATGAGGCCAGGAGAGCTCCCAGAAGTTGGAAGTTTCTGATTCCTGCCCGTCATCACGCGGGCGCGTCATGACTGAAGGTCACCTACAAATCAGCAAAAACGAAAACTAACACCCAAAATCAGTCAAATTCAGGGAAAGCAGATTTAAACTATGCTACAAAACCAACAAACAATTAAAAGAAATAATTAGGTTGCCTCCCAATGAGCGCCTTTCTTTAATGTCTTTGGCTAGACATGGTAAAGTGTCACTGATTAGGACACGGTGGTGCGTCAAGCCTTATTGTCTCCACCTCTCTACCTGAAAATTCTTCGTAATAATATTTGAGACGGTGTCCATTCACCACAAATTTGTTGTCTGTCTTAGCACTCTGGATCTCAACTGCACCATAGGGAAAAACATGAGTAACAATGAAAGGTCCAATCCAACGGGAACGTAGCTTACCAGGGAATAACTTAAGCCTTGATTGGTATAGGAGGACCTTCTGACCAACTTCAAATGTTTTTCTTGAAATTTGTTGGTCATGAAATGCTCGGCTTTTCTCCTTATAAATCAAGGCGTTTTCGTATGCTTCGTTCCGGATCTCCTCCAATTCTTGCAAATCCAGCTTCCGTTGAACACCGGCCTCTTCTAGATTCATATTACATTGCTTTATCGCCCAAAAAGCCTTGTGCTCGAACTCCACTGGAAGGTGACACGGCTTCCCAAATACTAACCTGTACGGTGACATCCCTATAGGAGTCTTGTACGCCGTCCGATAGGCCCAGAGTGCATCTTCCAACCTTTGGCTCCAGTCTTTCCTATCAGGGCGCACCATTTTCTCTAAAATGGACTTAATCTCCCGATTCGACACCTCTGCCTGACCATTGGTCTGAGGGTGGTATGATGTTGAGACCCTGTGGAGTACACCATACTTGCGAAACAACGCAGCTATGGTTTTGTTGCAAAAGTGCGTTCCCCTATCACTGACAATAGCTCTAGGCATTCCAAACCGCACAAAGATATTAGATCTGATAAAATCTGCAACTACTCTCGAATCATTAGTTCGAGTGGCCTTAGCCTCCACCCATTTAGACACATAATCAACTGCCAGCAAAATATATAAAAAGCCAAATGAAGTAAGAAAAGGCCCCATGAAATCTATACCCCAGACATCAAAAATTTCAACAAAAATCAACGGGACCTGGGGCATTTGATCTCTACGGGCTATATTACCTACCCTTTGACAGCGATCACATGACTTACAAAACACATAGGCATCCTTAAATAATGAAGGCCAATAAAATCCACTTTCCAAAACCTTATGAGCAGTTCTCTTTGGCCCAAAATGACCTCCACAGGCAAAAGTATGACAAAAAGCTAGAATTGATTGAAATTCCATTTCACTTACACATCTCCTCATGACTTGATCTGCACACCTCTTCCATAGGTACGGGTCGTCCCAGATGAAATACTTGGCATCGCTCTTCAATTTATCCCTCTTCGATTTTTGCCAACCTGCAGGAAAATCACCCGTTACTAGATAATTGACCAAATCAGCATACCAAGGCAATTGAGAGTTTAAGGAAAATAAATGCTCTTCAGGGAATGCATCCTTCAATGGCTCGCTATCCTCTTCAACTAGTATGCGACTCAAATGGTCCGCTACTAGATTTTCTGAGCCTTTTTTGTCCCTTATCTCCAAGTCAAATTCCTGTAGGAGCAGTATCCACCGTATGAGCCTCGGTTTTGCATCTTTCTTGGTCATCAGGTACCTCAATGCTGCATGATCAGAAAATACAATCACTTTAGCACCTAACAAGTATGACCTAAATTTTTCCAAAGCAAAAATAACTGCAAGAAGCTCCTTCTCAGTGGTGGAATAATTCAACTGGGCTCCATTCAAGGCTCGGGATGCGTAATAGATGACATGAGCCGCCTTCCCTACTCTTTGCCCCAGTACAGCCCCAACAGCATAATCACTGGCATCGCACATGATCTCAAATGGCAAATTCCAATCGGGGGGTTGGATGATTGGGGGTGAAGTCAACAATTCCTTCAGCTTGTTAAAGGCTCTCTCACACATATCATCAAACTCGAAGGCTACATCTTTTTGTAGGAGTTGGAACAACGGGGCTCCAATTTTTGAAAAATCCTTGATGAACCTTCGATAAAAACCTGCATGTCCAAGAAAAGAGCGCACCTCCCGCACACTCGCGGGGTAAGGTAATGCAGAAATAATGTCTATTTTAGCCTTGTCAACTTCTATGCCCTTAGACGACACAATATGACCCAGGACTATCCCGTGCTCAACCATAAAATGACATTTTTCCCAATTAAGCACAAGATTAGTCTCTATACACCTTATCAGGATCAATTTCAGGTTATCTAGACACGTATCAAAGCTATCACCATACACACTGAAATCATCCATGAAAACTTCTATTATTTTCTCAACATACTCAGAAAAGATGCTTACCATACATCTTTGGAAAGTCGCAGGTGCATTGCACAACCCAAATGGCATTCGTCTGTAGGCAAAGGTCCCGAACGGGCACGTGAAGGTTGTCTTCTCTTGATCCTCCGGGGCAATTGCTATCTGAAAGTATCCTGAAAATCCATCCAAAAAGCAATAATAAGCCCTACAAGCTAAACGTTCAACCATTTGGTCAATGAAAGGGAGAGGGAAGTGGTCCTTTTTAGTGACGGCGTTCAGCCTACGGTAGTCTATACACTGCCTCCATCCTGTGGGTTTGCGCACTGGCACGAGCTCCCCCGTTTGGTTGGCCTCTACCGTCACTCCTGCCTTCTTTGGGACTACCTGAACCGGACTCACTCAAGGGCTATCAGATATTGCAAAGATGATCCCCACATCTAGCAATTTTAGAATCTCATTCTTTACAACTTCCATCATGAGGGGATTGAGCCTCCTTTGAGCCTGCCGTACAGGTTTGGCATCCTCTTCTAGTCTAATCCGATGCATGCAGACGGCCGGGCTGATTCCCTTAATGTCTGCAATTGTCCAACCTATCACCTATTTATACTCTCTAAGGACCCGGATCAATTTCTCTTCCTGGGTTTTTGACAGTGCCGATGAGATAATCACCGGAAGTGTCTCATTATCACCCAGATATGCATATTTCAGGTGCTCTGGTAGAGGTTTCAACTCCAATACAGGTGCCTGCACCACATATGGCAATACCCTCTGGTGAGGCTCGGGAGTAAAAATAGGCAAGACTTCATACCTTTTCGTGGTGGTCTGCAACGAGTGTAATGCACCTATTGTGCATTTTAAATCCTCGCTCCACTCCACCTCAGGAGTTGTCCCCAACTCGAGGTGCTTGGTTAAAGCCACCTCCAGCTCATCCCTGCCATCAGTTTCAAACACTTCCTGCACTACAGGGTCAATAGCACTCACAGAAAAAACTGAGCTAAAGTTGGAGTTCGAGGGGTACTTCATAGTATCAAAAATATTAAAATGCACAATTTTCCCATCAAACTCCATGGACAGGATACCCTTATTAACATCAATTTTCGTCTGCGCTGTGCTCATAAAAGGTCTACCCAATAACAGAGGTGAGGGGTCAGGGGAGTGATCATCATCCATATCAAGTACATAAAAATCAGCTGGAAACACCAAACCATTAACTTTTACCAACACATCTTCAACCAACCCATCAGGATATGCATTAGTTCGGTCAGCTAATTGAATGATTATTCCAGTTTCTTTTAATGGACCTAATTTTAGAGAAGCATAGATAGAGTTAGGCATGACATTTATTGATGCTCCCAGATCCAACATGGCCCTTCTGATCACAGTATTACCTAACTTACAGGGAATAGTAAACATACCTGGGTCCCCGCACTTTGGTGGAAGCTTTCTCTGCAGGACCGCAGACACATTTTCCCCAACTATGACCCGTTCATCTCCCCTCAATCGCCTTCGGTTGACACACAAGTCCCTTAGGAACTTGGCATATTTTGGTACTTGTTTGATGGCGTCTAAGAGGGGGATATTTATCTCAACCTTGCGAAAAACCTCCAAGATCTCCTTCTCCTTATCCTGTTTCTTTGATTTTTCCAACCTGCTAGGAAAAGGAGGCGGGTTAGTTTTAACTGTAATTATTGGGTCAGGAAGTACCTTTTGATCTGCACCATTGCTGTCCTCCCTTTCGAGCTCATTTTCGATTTTCTTTTCATCCTTGTCCTTGGGAATCACAGGTTCAGGCCCCTGAATTTCTTTCCCACTCCTTAGGATCATTGCGCTCACATTCTTCGGATTCAACTCCGGTTGAGATGGCAGCTTCCCTTGGTTCTGGGACTCCAAACGGTTCATTCTGGTGGCCAATTGACCTATCTGATTCCTTATGTCCTGCATCTCGGAGTCCGTCTTTTGCTGATTTTGCATAATAGCTGCCTCCGACCTTTGCTGATTCTGCGCCATGGTTGTCATCATTTGTTTCAGTATCTCATCCGTAGATGAACCAGATTGAGGGGGCGGAGATGGTCGGGGTTGGTATTGCTGCTGGTACCCTGGTGGCTTATTTGGCACAAAGTTAGACTGCCTGTTTGGCGTGAAGTTGGATTGCCTATTCCCACCATAACTGAGGTTGGGATGATCTCTCCACCCGGGGTTGTAGGTGCTTGAGTAAGGGTCGTACTGCTTTCTTGGCGCGGGCGCGTGGTCAGCCATGTTCACCTGTTTCGCAGTTTCTTCCTGAATCATTGGGCACATGTCTGCAGAGTGACCTATACCAGTGCAAATCCCGCATACCCTGGCTTGTGATACATTTCTCACAGCCTGTTGCCTAACGAACGCAGTCAATTCATTTAGCTGCTGCTGCACAGAAGGTGTCTCTATCTCATTCACCCTACGTATTGGGACATCCTCTCTTGTACTGAATTGCTGTGAATTCTCTGCCATCCCCTCTATTAACTCCCGTGCTTCCTGAGGGGTTTTATTCACCAGTGCCCCTCCACTTGCAGCATCAATGATGCTCCTGTCTCTAAAAATGAGCCCCTCATAGAAATATTGTATGATCAACTGCTCACTTATTTGGTGATGGGGGCACCTGCGCAATAAGCTCTTGTACCGTTCCCAATACTCGTAAAGTGACTCCCCGGGATGCTGTTTGATCCCACAAATTTCTTTCCTTAGACTCGCAGCCCTGGACGCCGGAAAGTATTTATCCAGAAATTTTTTCTTCAATTGGTCCCACGTGATAATGCTACCTGGTGACAGGTAGTACAGCCAGTCCTTCGCAGAATCTTTCAAGGAGAAGGGGAATGCCCTCATTTTTATCTGCTCTTCTGTGATTCTCGGGGGTTTCATACTATTGCAAACGACATCAAACTCCTGCAGATGCTTATACGGCTTCTCACCTGGTAAAACATGAAAAAAGGGTAAAAGTTGAATCAGACCAGATTTTAGTTCAAATGGAATGTTGTCATTTAAAGCGGGGAAAGTAATGCATAACGGCTGCTGAGTTAAATCAGGAGCAGCCAACTCACTTAATGTTTGTGCATTAGCCATGGTGAACTCCTCCTGGTCAGAGTCACTCGAAGTGTTACCAAACGAATCTGTTGGTTCAATTTCTGACTCAGGTCTTTGAGATGTAGCACTAGAGTGCTCTTCTCTAAGCTGTCTGGTTTCCTTTCTCGTTCTACGCGCGGTCTTCTCTACCTCAGGATCAAAAACCAAATCACCTGTGCGACAAGATCGAGGCATACATTAGAAGAAAACCAGAAAATTAGGACAAAATTGAATTTAAAAAGAAACAAATAATAACGCCAGTCCCCGGCAACGGCGCCAAAAATTGACAGGTCGTCAGCCTGTGCAATAATAAAATTAAACTTAATTGCCAGTTAAAATGACCAAAACCCAATTCCAAGTACTGGAGCAGGGACTCTAGGTGTGCAATGGGTTACTTGATTCACCCTGTTCCCGAAGAGTTTGCTTGATCCGATATACCCGAATGGAATGGTTATTCCTTTTCACAAATGATTAGGAATTTGTAGACAGGGCAAGTAGGGTCGTATCCACAGAGACTGGGTATATTTGTTTCTTAAGAAATCCAAAGTAACACAGGGGGTGATTTTGTAGGAACGACGATAATTAAATAAATTCAAATGAGAAAGTAAAAATAAATAATTAATTAGGAATTAAACCACAATTTACTGAACTCAGGATAACAATAATTAAAGGCCTAAATTAATTAAAATAAGGAAACAATCAAAAATAAAATAAAATAAAGTAGGCAATTAAAAGTCAAATGGCAATCCGCTCCAATCAAGGAAATGTTAACTAAAGATCTAGCCAAGAAATAACTTCAGCAATGGTTCACCTAATTGATCATTGATGCAAAGCAATCCCACTTATCTACCAATAAATAGGTTATAACTACCAAACAAACGATGGCAGTCAACCCCTCCTTACTGTGTCGGTGATCAAGGTACGCCCGTTAATCACTGCTCTAATTGAGGAATAATCCTAGGTACGCCCGTAGAATTTAATTCCCCAATTGCCTTACGTATTAGAGGAGCCCTATTCTAACCAAATAACGCACTACCAGGGTTATTTTAGATTAGCCCGTGTATTCCCCTGACACGAATCTAATCGTGCCAGGTGTCACTATTTTGAGGTAATTAAACAATTACGGATTTAATACCCCAATTAACAATAGATTACCCAATCAACTAATCATCCGGATCCAAGACAATCAATTAATTAAATAACCATAAGCATAGTAATCAGGGAATACACGAATACCAATAAATAAGAGGGAAAGATTAAATTAAATCGATCTCACAATTTTCAGGTGATCCAAAGCATCCGTCGTTTCTTGACTAGAATGAGGGGATTAGCTCATATTGGGTGAACTAAGCCCGCGGAAAATTGTAGAGAGAGCAGCGGCCATTGCCTGCGTTTCGGGGAGTTGCAATTCGTCGAACAATTGGAGAACAAATGAAAAGCGCGGTAACAATTGAAGCTTTGTAGTTGTTGCTAGCATTCGTAGTGCAAAGTCATTCACAAGATGCCAGAAAGAAAAGTCAAAGAAAGCAGGCTATCAATTTTTGCTCCCCACATGCGTGGAGCCAGAAGCTACAATAAGCTAAAGGAAAAGTCAAAGGAAATAATTCTTCCTTGTTCCTGCCATGCGCAGGATTCAAAGAAACTAAGAAAAGTCAAAAAGAAAAGTCCAAGGCTCCAAGCTCAAAAGCTAACAATTCTCTGCTAAAAATTCAGCCCCCCCAAAGAGCTCTCCCTTCTTATTGCGGCGGCTCACCAGCAGGAGGAAGAATCCCTCCGTCCGTCCTTTTTTGCGGAAATTACCAAAATGGGCATCATATCCTCTTTGCCAAAAATATCCCTGGAATAAGCTCTGTGGCTTGGACATCTTTTCTATCAAACTTGGCCCTTGTTATCGTATTTTCGTTCTACTCTCTGAAATAATTGCAAAATACTAAAAATGAGTAGAATCCAGCAAATAAACCCACATCAAGTCAGGTAATGGGAGGAATTAATAATAAAATAAATGAATAAATTGCGACCTATCAGATAATGAACCTTAAGTTAGTCTACCTTTTATTCAATGTATCCCCCAGTGTCTTCCCAATTATTTACTACTCT